CTTGTGCGTTTCCAGCTCCTTTACAGAACTCCCTTACCAAAGGGGATAAAAGCAAATATACTTCTCCCTCAGCTCTGTAGGCTGTGCAGGGCCAACACACGCAGTCAGTCAGTTTTCACCGTGGACAGAGCGATTCCTTGCAACAAGAGACATCACTTTCCAAGGTTTTGCATTTGCTTATTGCTTTCTCCTCCTCCAAGCTCTCCACTAAGTTCTTCTGGCTCTTCCTCCTCCTTCACCACCCTCACAAGCCCTGTCCAATACCCAGCTCTGCTGTCAACCCTGCCTTTGCTATCTCCAGCCCAAGTATCTGTGTCAAGACACCTCGGAGAAAGGGGTCCCTATGAAAATAGCAGCTTGTGCTAGAATTGCCTTACATGTGTATCTGTAGGTCTGCTTTGCCCCTTCCTAAATGTTTCTGCAGTTATCTCCTCCACTTCAACAGCTGGTCTGCCCCAGTTTCAAATCTTCTTCCAAGTATCTATTTTCTTCTACTCTTCTCTTCCTTCCCCAAGCATGATGCATGTCGGATTAGTCTTCCCCCTTATGTAGGCTGCTTTGTGGTTTATGCATAATTTTATTAGTCTCAGAAAGCACTTATGCACCTTTTGCCATGAAAAGTAGCAGACACTCAAAATGGGTCACACTTAGCTAATACAAAAATCTTTGCTCTTGTGAGTTAATGTCAGCTTAAAAACATTCACTACAGAGATAGGAACAGCTTATTAAACCCAAATTCAAGCTACACAGAGGAACCTGAAGTGGTACATCCAGCCAACATCACAAGAGTTAAATAGTATTGTCTGCTTCACTGTGTTGCAACTAATGATTAATAAATGAGTCTATTAAGTTAATCTGCCAGGCAAAACTAAGCTTGACAGGCACCTGCCACAGAAAATTTGTTATCTATTCAGGCAGGAAATGGCAGTGAGAAGAAATCAATGTCACTGCTGTACATTGAGCTGACAAACTGAAATCTCAGAGGAAGTTTGTCATCTTGAACAATTTGCAATATCCCTGGTGGCATCTCAGAGCCCCACAATAAAGGTCAGATACGGCTCTTATTTATCAGGGCCTTGAAACTCCAGTGTAGCAATTAAATTTCATTTTTAATACTGGGTGAAAAAACCCAGCTATTTGACAGTAATGTGTGGTAATATATTTATGAGAAGAGATATATATATCCACGTGCTGCTGCATTGTTGTTGAATTGGAGTTAAATGGCATGATTTCTTCGCAATGTAAAATGAAAAGCAACATAATCTTCTATTATCTAGGTCAAAAAATAGGAAAAAAAACCCCACAATACCCACTACATTTGCTTCAAATTTGTTAAAAGAGAGAAAAGGAAATGCTTTGTATCCAGCTGTACACCAAACAAAACAAGCTTTCAAATAGAGTCTCCAAGTATTGCTTTTTTATACATGCGAATGAGTGGTAAAATTATGCAGCTGTTAATAAGACAACAAGGGAAGCTTTTGACGTAAACCCCTTTTTATCTCCTAGCTAGAAGCATTTCAATCAAAGAGGAAATTTGTTCACAACTGCCGTTTGATTTCTGGCGTTAGTGGTGTTTGCTTTCCGTGTCCTGCTCAGCGGGGACCAGAACTGGATGGGGCTTATCGGTTTCACTTCTCCCCGTGCGCCCCACGAGATGCTGCAACGTGCAGGCCACCAAAATCCCTGGGCAGACTTCGGATATATGTCAGTGGGACCCGCACAGCCGCTGGGCTCCCTCCTCTCTCGGACACCTGCAGGACAAGGGCCTAAACATTCATAGTCACACTATTAATAGAGTGTGAAAACTTGCAAAAAACCCCAACAAACTAGGAAGCACCACCAAGAAAAACAAGTAGAGCAGCACCTTTGCCTGCACTAAGATCCTAGTGAGATGTCCTCCATTTCTTACAGTTGTCCAGTGGAGCCTGTTTGACAACATCCTGACTTCAAACCAAAACCCACACAAGCAATTTCATGGGTACCGGAATGAAAGGGAGTCTGGCTTCCTGTGGATTTGGGGTTTGTCATCAGATTCTCTGAAGCCAAATAATTTCCAAGCCAGGTTCAGCGATCTTCCCGCCACGGGGACCTCCACCACATTTCCTCTCGACATCTCTTCCACAGCGCCTGTTGAAAGCTCAGCTCCTATTGCAAGCCTTCCCTCAAAGCCCTTATTAACCTTTATTCTCCCCTCACAGACGCATTTGCAAGAAACTTACAGGAACTTCTGTTTCTCTTTGCAGCCTCGGCCTTTCCGCCACGTTTCCATGGCCGCCATGTCCAAGGGCTACGCAGGCTGCTGTGCGCCCGTGTGCGCAGGCACCCTGTTGCCATAAGCCTTGCTTCCCTAAGAGACCAGACGAAACAGCCCACGGCCAAAAGCAGGATTAATATATGCAAAAAGAAACAGCTCTGCAAAGATAACTCATGCAACAATGAAAAAGCCTTTAGACGGCTTATTGCCCTTTATTCCTCTACCACGACAGACGTGACAGAATCTCAGTCTGGGGACACTTCTTAATTTGAAAATTTTCAGCATTTCCTTCCTCTTCATATTTTGCTTTTTTAAAAGAAAAGCTCTTCAGCAATGAGCAGGATTACACCCTGCCAGGCAGTGATATTTACGCCTGAAATAGGCTAAAGCAACAATAAAAATGTGGTCCACACATGTGGGTAACTTTCTGCCAGCAAATATGAAACCCTGGCAAGCTCCAACAACCTCTTCTTCAACGTTAATATAAAATAGACAGAGAGTACCAGTTCTCATGTCTGGCCTGATGTTATATAACTGAGCTGTTTGTTCAACAGAGTCAACCCTTACACCACACAAAAAAAAAAAGTTTAAAGCCTCCAGACAGCTGTAAATCATTATTCTGAAATATTTTATAGGTTAGTGAAATTATCATTTACTCTGGTCCCTGTAGTCCTTAGCACCTGACACCTAACAATGTAATGAACGTTGCAGATTCTTATTTCTACAGATCTACTTAATTCCCCCGATAAAGGATTTTACAAGACTATTTTTAATAAGTTGCTTCTAGATATAGTTGCACCTCACCGCCAGAGCAACAGATACACACGTCTCCACTTCCAAAAAAAATACCAACCAACAAGCACTGAAGATTGATGACAGACCAAAAGTCCTCCCACCAAATACTGTTTAATTAAATAAAAGAAATTTAAGGAGGAGCTTAATAATACTCTTCGTAATTACAACACAAATTTTAAAGTAACTCAAAATTCACCCGTTCAATATCTGATGCTAAATTGCAAGCTGATGTTGTCCCGAAGGAAACACAGCAGCCAGGGAGGAAGGAGAACACACTGAAGGAGCGGCAAAGAAGGGGGGACCAAAAAAAAAAAAAAAACACCCCCACCCCTCATCAGCCTCTCAGAACTGGGATTCCCTTCCAAATATGAGAATTCTTTCACACAAAGAGGAAACAGATGTCCATGGCTGGAATTTGCATGTGGCTTTATTCTCATTCTCTTCTAGGATACAATAAAACTACTCTTCTTCTCATCCTCTGAGCTAGAAATTAAACAGTGGCATGTCGTGCATAGTCCAGCTGTGCTTTCTACCTCCAACCTTTATTAGCAATATATTTAAAAAGAAGAAGAAAAGAGAGAGACAGAAAGGAAGGGAGAAACTAGAAAAGCATCAGAAATGAAAAACTATGTGGTATGTGTTCTCAAAACAATATAAAACTTACAGATGTTTTTACTAATCTGTGGCACATGTTTGTTTATTCAGGTTTTCTCTGTCTCCAGTTCAGCA